ACCTCCGACTCCAACGCCTGAATCCTAGCCAATGCCACCGGATCAGTCGTCGTCGCAGCACTCTCAGCCGGAACAGACCCAGCAGGGCTCTCTGATCGGGAAGAAGGCTTCGGAGCAGAGCTCACAGCTCGGGAAGTCGATGGCTTAGGGGCAGCAACACGCACGGCCGGCTCAAGATCATCAGGAATCACAACACGCACAGCCGGCCTGGCCTTAGCCTTCACCTTCGAACGAGGCTCAAGATACTCGGTGCGTTCTGCTCTCACCTTCGGCTTCGGCTCTGCGCGCTCGCAGGTCCATTTTCCATAAAACTTCGCCGCGTTCGTGGGCCGTCCTTGCGCCCTTGTGATCCATTGGCGAGCCTCCTCCAAGATGTTCTCGACTTGATGAGTCGTCCATCTGTCTGACCAAGTGCAAATATCACAACGGCCATAACAAGATCTCATCAGAGGCCATGAGCTCCTCTCGCCAGTGTGCACAATCTGAAGCCTCGTGCCCTCCGGCACTACCACATCTGTAAGCTCCGCGCCTGCCACTGATCTATGCCGAGACTGATTACAGATATAAATTGCATAACAACGCTTCGGTCGCACCGATCCATCCTGCTCCAGCCGCTGCTTGAGCTCGCGCATGTTTGCAAGGAAGTTCTCATCTCGTAGCGGTGCCGCAAGCGTATCGGGGTGCCTCCCCACATGTCCACGAGTCTGTGGCCGCTCCTCTGGGTCATGCAACCGCAGAGTATCCATCACAAAGATAGCTGTATCGTCCGCAATGCGATGATCTGGAAAGCATGCTTTCGCCAACAACACAGCCCTCTGATGGGAAGGATCTCTCAAGTACTCCGCAGCCTGCACAATAAAGTTACGACCGGCCGATGCCGCGTAAACCTCCATGGAGGGCAGAGCCTCGAGAACCCCTTCACTGCTTCGCGCCACTCTCTCGCTCTCAGTGGTAGCTGTGTAGCTAGCAGTCAACACTGCCTGTGATGTTCTGAGCTTCCGAATGGCCTTAGGCAACTCCGTCTTCTGTCTCAAACCCTTGGTCAAGTTGATGCACAGAAGATTACTCCCCCTGGCTCGGGCTAATGGAACCATCCATTCTTGGCCATCCTTTCGAAGGTAACACCGAAAATTCCCCATGTCCTTCACCAACCCCAACTTACTCTGTGCAAACTGCGACATGAGAAGCGGAGCCGTTGTGTCGTCAGGTAGGACATGCACATCCATCAAACCCGAAGTAAAATCCCGATCTCCACTGCTGTTCGGGTCATGGGTCAAACCATCCTTGCCACCACGGTCAAGGAGTGAACTCCCGAAAGTCTCAATGCTGAAGGGAATCCGCCGGGTACCAACGGTTGAGGCGCTGTGGGCAAGTCCATTGAATGTTTTGGTTTCGGAGGAAATCCACGGGCACTCGAATCCCAACTCCCTCAACTTGGACTCCGTTCTGTTCATCCACTGACCACCGGCAACGCTGCTGTTTGCCCCTTCATCCAAAGTAGCCCAAACATCTTCGTCTTCCATAATGTCAACCACTGGGAGAATCAATCCAACCTCATCGTTAGGCAGGGGTCCGGGTTCCTCAAGAGTTGCCATGAATCCCGAACGTCGTGGCGCATATCCTGTCCTCTGACGGCTTGCCGATGGAGCTGCAGAGGGTCCAGACCAATCCGTCACACCTACCGGTCCACGAGGTGGATCAGGTTCTTCGGCCACTTGTGATGCTTCAATGCAATCTTGGAGTATGCCATGCAAGATTTCTGCCGAAATGGTAGGCTTTGCTTCTCCAGCTACATCTTGTGCTACCATGTGGTCCTCTACCTGGGTTCTGAAATCGTCCAAGACAACCACTGCTTGCTCGGTAGTCAACTCCGTACCCTGACTCACGGACTGCTGAATGCTCGATACCAAGTCAAACGACGCTGCCGACATGGTCTCAACCTCTCTTCCTATCGCCTGTCGTCTCTTCGCTTCCTCTCTCGGCATCTCATCAATGAAATTCCCGCAATCCTTGCAGAATACCCTCATCGTTGCCTTATTGGAACCTAGCCGGTTTGTGTTCTTGTGCTCACAAAGGTTGATGTCTTTCTTCTCTGGCATCTCCTTCTTCGTCTTCTCAATCTTACCGCAATCTTTGCAAGTCTTGACCTGCACATAAGCGTTGGTTCCCAAGAAACTGAAATCTGTGCATTTCCGACAGCTCACCGGTAATGGTGGATTTGGCGGCTTCTTCTTGGCTGACTTGTGCGCTGATCTTGCTGGTATCATCTGATCTGATGCTGAAGCTTCTGCGCTGGGGACTCCCATTTGGTCGAGCGGGACTTCTCGCCGGGAGACTTCCATCGTCTTTTGATCGATGGTGTAATAGTTGTGTACCCAATCCAGATACTGAGACAGATACAAGGACGGAGCTCGTTCGTTGAATCCCCATGACGCATATCCCGGAAATCGCCATGTGACCTCTTCATAAGTTAACCCTCGATGCTGTCCAAATAGGAACTTCTTGTCACCACCTGGAGGAACCTCATCCCTCATTGTTCCTCCCTTGGTCAACCTGCTTGGGCTGTGCCTGTACGCCATCATCGCATGAGGACTTGCCGAATCATCCGAAATCAGCAAACAATCATCCTCTGAACTCGAATCCGATAGCGTAGCCAAGAATGCTTGCTTAGCTGGGGTCTGGTTGGGTGCCTGACCTCCACGTCCTTTCGGGCACTGTGGATCCCCACTCCAATGTCCAACTTGACCACATTTCATACACCTCGATTTGCTCTTGATCTCCTGAAGGCGCTTTTTCCTATCCTCAATGCTCAAGTTCGACTTGACGACTGGGAATCCTTTACCTTTTCCTTGGGATTTCCCTTTTCCTGCCTTGCCCATGACGACATTTGCAGCCAATTGTAGCTGAATAGCCTCTGCCGCTGCTTCTGGGTAAGCATCTGGGTCACACGATTCAATGACGTTCAGCGCGGTTGCAATGTCTTCATCAGATACATACTCTTCTCTCTCTTGATTGTCTGGGGTATACGCTGGGTATGCTTGGGGGTTTTCACCATGCTCTCCATACCACCATTCATTCGGATCGGTTTCTCCCCAATGCTCTGCTAGGTATCCCCAATGCTCGTACTCTGATCCACTTGGTTCTCCATAATACTCCGCATGTTGACCCATCTCTTCGGCTGCATACGCTCTCCACGGTGACTGCTGATTGTAAGATGGCTTCCCTGAAGATCCTTTGCCGAATCCCTTTGGGCCAAACTTACCTTTGTCCCTGCCGAAGTCCTTGGAACCGAACTTGCCTGGCTCCTTGCCCTTTCCTTTGCCAAATGGGTCCAATAAGCGGTTGTCCCTCAAGTGAATGTTTCCATGATGCTCAATCATGATTCTAGCAAAACTCTCGAAGCTGTTGTCACCTCCTGCGCAAGCCTTAATCATTAGCTGCTGATCCTTGGTGAGTCCACTTAGCTCCAGCATGAGTTCTGCTCTAAGTCCATCACTCAAGCTTATTCTGGGATCAAGCTGTTGCATCAACTCCCACCACCTTCTTCGGCGTGAGATGTAGCTGACGATACTCTCACCACCTTGTCTTGACAGTGGGCCGTACTGGGCCTGGCCACTGCGAAAGAGTGCCTGTGCTTCAAGGGTTCCCAAAGGAAACACCATGCGCTTGATCTCTTGAATTAGCTTTCTCAAACCTCCCGGAGATGACAATGTCTGAACACCCAAGTCCTTGGCCCTCTGAAATGCATCTCCTCGCAGTCCCTCCATGACACGCAAGGTAGCATCCAACCACTGATCTTTCTCACTCTCTCCATCGGAATCTTCGGACCCTGAATCGTGTTCCTTCACCTTCGGGATCTCACTGGACGTGTCTGACACTGGGCCACGCTCCAAGTCATTCTCACGCCCTTTCGTCGGGGACCGCTCTCTCTTCCCCGTCTCAGGCTTGCTTGACGACGAGAAAGATTCGCTCTTCTTCTGCTTCCGTTCTCTACGGTCCTTCTTGATTCTCTGCTCACATGCAACGATACGCAGTTCCGTTCTGAACTCCCATTCGTGATACGCTTCTGGAGTGCCACTGTAAATGAATACACCATTCTTTGTCACTATGGGGGCCGTTGCATACGAACCCTGCTGGTACCTTAACCCTGCGACTGTCATGGTAAGGCACACTCCTCCAGCCACACCAACCAAAGGAATATCACACTGCTTGCTTCCACTGTGTTACACCTTCCCCAGCCAACACGGTCTGAGGCAATACAACGGAGAACTGGCTTCCCAAAGGCCCTGCTGGAGCTTCACCCTGCAATTGAGGGCTCAGCTCCGCTACCAATTTGGTAACAAAGCGCTTCGGACAGCTACTTTTTCGCCACTATGCTCAAGGCGCCTTTGAGAGTAATGTTGCGGTTTGCATTCACGTTTGATGCTTCCTACCGCACTAGCACTTTACAATGAAGGCTACCTAGGCATGCGCTCAGGCTACACATTGCAAAACGAGGAGGTATTCTCACCCCTTAAACCCCTTAAACCCCTTAAACCCCTTAAACCCCTAGACCCTGGACCCTGAACCCTGAACGCTACGTAAATCTCGCTGGACCGACAGGCAGTGCCGGCAGCCTAGGATGTGCAGAACATCGGAGCCTAATGTGGGGGGGGGGCCTTGAAATTACTTGTGCCATTTTGGGGGCTGCTTGTTAAAATTATAGTCGAACGGGTCCCAAGACCCTGTAAAAAAATATTAAGGCCCCTATAATTAGATGAAGGATGCTTGGTGCTTCGAGTCCCTACGTAGATTTAGGGCTCAGTAGGCCTTAGGGCTTGGGGCTTAGGGATGAGGGTTTAGGGTTTAGGGGTTTAGGGTTTAGGGTTTAGGGGTTTAGGGTTTAGGGTTTAGGGTTTAGGGATGGTGTTTCGCAAAGGGAGTAAACACCCCAGGTTGCCTAAACCCTGAACGCCCAAACCCTAGACCCCGAGCCCCTAACCCCTAAACCCTCAAGGAGCCGTTTGCCCGGAGGGCCCAGCGTATTGCTCTTGCCAGGGGTGGCGGCCTAGGATATCAGAACTTCGATCTGCAGTTTAAAGGTGCTGTTGAAGGCTTTAGACCCTGAGCTCTAAACCAAAGCCCCAAACCAAACCCTAAACCCTAAACCCAAAGCCCCCAAACCAAAACCCTAAGCCAAGATCACCAAGATCCTCAGACCTAAACCAAAAACCTCAGACCTAAATCAAAACCCGAAGACCTAAATCAAAACCCTATACTAACATCCAACGCCTGAAAGCTCGAGGCTTCCTCTAAACCCTAAGTTAGACTTCGAGGGCTCAGGAAAGCAGGCGTTTGCAGTGCCGAAGTTCAGAGTTTGGAGGCTGAGGGTTGAAATCTTTGTGTGTATATAAATATATAAATATAAGAAAAATACAAAAATATAAATACATGTGTATATGTATATATATATATATACATATAGAAGCCCCGTATGCCCACATTCAATAGTGTTTGTACTTACCTAAGTAGTAAGTGCCAGAACCCCGGCAGGTTTATATCGTCGCAAACAGTGCAACAGTAACTCCGACGGAGAGCCCGGGTGTTGCACTGCAGGACAATGGTGTTGAGTGGATTAGGGTTTGGGTTTAGGGTTTAGGGTTTAGGGTTTAGGGTCCCTGCTCCGCGGGATTTAGATCCTCTTAGGGCCTATATAAGCATGCATATGGGTAGTTGTCAAAATTATGGTCCCTTATTGGGTACCCTAAATATTAGGTGCCGTATTACAATAGGGACCCAAAAGGGGACTGAAGACAGGGAGGTTTCGGGTGCAAGGTGTTCGGGAGGACGGAGTGCTGTACCCGAAGTGGCTGGTTCCGTCTGTATAAACAAGAGTATAGAGCTTTGTACGAAACAGTAGGTGCACGGTAGCAGAACTGCAAAACCTCTGTTGCTGCTGTCTTGGAGTGGGCTCCAGCGTAATACAGCACATCCATCCACCAGTCTGCTTGCAAGTCGCGGCTGTCTCCACTCTCGCGTCGCCTGGTTGAGACTGAAAATGCTTTTCGTTGAGTGGTTTGGGCAGGGCGTGCGAAGGGTTGAAGGTGTTTAGCCTCGCAGCCCTTGAACATTGTGGGTGTTTGGCGGGAGCACATAACGAGAAGGGGTCCTTCCTAAGGCATGTCAAGTCTTCGTTCTATTGGGACTGCACAAAACCAATTAGTCTAGAAAGCTTACGGACTCAACTACGGTTGATGGCATGAATCCTTCGTTACCTTGATGACCATAGGCGATGGGAATTATGGTCCATGCCTTATTATGGGCAATGCAGGATTTAGATTCTCAGCTCTAAACCCTAAACTCTATAGATCCCTTAAAGGCACCCCTTAAAGTACCCTTATAGATCCCTTTAAAGGAACCCCAAGCGTATTGCAGGGACCCAGAGTCAGGACATAAGAGCCCTGGACAGGGGATACTTTGAGAAACTACGATGACCGCGAAATTTACATAGCTGTATATGTTATAATAGATGTATATATGTTATAATAGATGTATATAACATAGCCTAAGCACAGTATTACATGCCCAGTATATAGATACAGTGACCATCCAATAGAGCAGACCCTCCATCTTGCAACGCAAACCCAAAACCGTAGTGAATCCTCGTAGCTGAATTGTCCGAGGTTTCTTTTTTTTTAAGTGCAGTGGCGTCTTTCTGGTGCAGCAACAGAGAGTCTCGCCTGCCACTCCTACGGGGCTTGCACTGAACGAGGGTTTAGGGTTGAGGGGTTTAGGGTTTAGGGCAGCTAACTTGTCCGAGAGGTTTAGGGAGTCGGGCATTCCAGGGTTTGCGGGTTTAGTATTTGGTGGGTTCGGCCCCCCCTCGGTAATAGTTGAATAATGTTCAGAATATAATATAGATATACTAAGACCTTAATAGTAGCCCTGTTATAGACTGTTACTGTAAGGGGGCAGTACCTAAAGTATTTGGGGCATTTACCTTAGGGGCCGTAGTAATTGGAATAGGGTTTGCAAGGTTCCCTATTGTAACTACAGTATAATATCCCCAAGCCCCATCCTAATTATTAAGGCCCCTACATAAGGGGCTATGGAGTTATAGGATCCTGAGATGTGTACGAAACAAACCCTGTAAAGCCCCAAGACACTCTGGACCCTGTGTGTATACTGGTGCTTACATCCCTTGAAAATGCAACAAAGAACACTAGAAACTCCTCTAAATGCGAGACCCCTTAGCCCTAAACTCTAAATCCCAACCAAACCCTAAACCCTAAACCCCCAAGGCATGAATTTTGAGAAGCCCCTGTAACTTGTCTGAGCAGCTTCTGGACGCTGCTTCCAGAGGCGGACTCCTGTCGAGAAAAGGGCGCAGGGGGCTCCCAAAGGGTTTTAGGTGTATGGTTCGGCCCGGGTTTAGGGTTTAGGGTTTAGGGTTAGGGTGTACGCTACTTTGGTGTAGATTTCTGCTCCGGATCTCGGCTCTTTGCTCGCTAGCCGAGTGGGAGCGAGGCACATGAGGAGCTCACCGCTTTCAGGTGGGTCTTGAGTTACTTACATTGAAAAAAGGGGCCGCGTCGACTTGACTCTACGCCCCAAAAGCGTGAAAAGCGTGATATAAATAGATATACATATATATATATATACATACATGTACATACATATGTAGATATATATATATATACGCATGCATAGAGACTATTTCTCAGCCTCTCTTCGCTTGGACCTGGCATCCGTGCAAAACAAGGCCTGTAAGGTCTCCTCCTTAAACAAAAACCCATAAATCCCCAAAACCCTATCTAGGTTGGCCCCTTAAAGCCTTTGAAAAGTATGAGTAGATACGATCCCCTTAGGCCCAATGAAGGAAAGTACAAAATGCCCCAAAGGCGTGCCTAGTATCTTCATCTACAGAGTTCAAACTGTAAACCCGAAGCCTAAGCTCAAAACCACAAGAAACCAACCTAAGTTCGAAAAGGTCCAAAACCCTCTTGGCCACAGCCTCGGGCTAGTTTACATTGAGAACTCGGAGGGCGCAACCCTCGGCGACCTCTTTGGAATACGATTTAAGGCTTAGGGTTATGTTGATGATCTGCCTTGTGGATTTGACCTTATCAGGGGAACACTAACTATGATCATAGGAACGGGAGCTACAGCCAGTCAGTGACACATGAACTCTAAACCCAAACCCAATTATCACCCGCAACTTGAAGCCTCAAAGCCCGAAGACTCGAAGAGCACTGCAGGAGCACGCATTGAAAGCTTGTGTCAAGAATCCGAGCTCTGAAGCCACGAGGAGTTTAATACTGCTAATTTGAAGAGAACCCGCAAATTCAAGCTTAAACCCAAGCCCTAAAACTCAAATTCAAGCCTTAAACCCAAACCCTAAAACCCAAATTCAAGCTTAAACCCAAACCCTAAAACCCAAAATCAAACTTACACCAAAACCCGAAAACCCAAAATCAAGCTTAAACCGTAATACCCTGAAACTCAATTTCAAGCCTAGACCCAAACCCTAGAATCCAAATTCAAGCTTAACCCCAAACCCTAAAACCCAAATTCAAGCCTAAACCCAAACTCTAAAACCCAAAATCAAACTTACACCCAAACCCTGAAACCCAAAATCAAGCTTAAACCCTAATACCCCAAAACTCGATTTCAAGCCTAGACCCAAACCCTAAAACCCAAATTCAAGCTTAAACCCAAGCCCTAAAACTCTTAACCCGAAATTGTTGCGCCGAGAGCCTTTGGCATGTCGTCTTCGCGCTCGGCAGAAGGCTCTTTGGCCGATACGCCTGTCACAAAAAAGGCAAAGGTTAAGGGCTTCGGGTTTAGGGTTTGGGTTTAGGGGTTTTAGGGTTTAGACTTTTAAGGGCTCCGAAATCCCTGAATAGAGAGCCAGTCGGTAAGAGATCGTCGGACGAAGAAACCCTGTTTCTAGGGAACTTTGTGCGAAAGGAGTTTGCCTGAACCCTTAAACCCTGAACCGAGTTTGTCAGGAAGGAGATCTGACAGTCCATGTGAAGGATGGGTACTCGTAAGTGGGGTCATTAGTAGGGTAACTATAGTTAGAACCCCAATTAGGGCACGCAAAAACCCACTGATAACTATCCTAAACCTCAATCCCTAAACCCTAAATCTCTACACAGAGCCCTTTACAGGAACCCTTAAAGGAACCCTTATAACCCCAGTTATAGTTCTGACTAACCCATAAAGCTCCAAGCAGGGGCATGGAGGCGAACTCCAAGCGGTTGGAGCTTCGAGTTCTGGGTTGTACTTGGAGGGTCGGGGGTCTTAGTAACTCTAAGGGGTTCCTTAAGGGCCCCTTTAAAGGGATCTATAGGGGTTCTGTAAGGGTTTAGGGTTTAGGGGGACTTTGTAACTGGTTATTTTGGGGACTTATAACTACCATAACCCCAATTAGGGTTCCTTTTCGGGCTCCTTTACAAGAGTTCTGGGTTCCCAGAGACTCCAATATCCCCTAGTTAAGGAATATACCTTAAATTATAGTAGGATCCCTCATATGATTTAAGGTATATTCGTTAATTAAGGGATATTGGAGTCTCTGGGTTGTAAGGTCCAAGGTTTAGGGTCTAACTGATCTCATCCAAAATTATTTGAATGGGGACCCTAAACCCAGACCCTAGACCCTAAACCCCCAAACCCTAGACCCTAAACCCTAAACCCCAAACCGCGGCGGAGCTTCGAGCTTCCGCCTTCGCATAGTTTGTATTTCGGAGCTGACAGGAATTTCTCAAGAAGAAAGCAACTGCCGTGATGAGGTGGCCTTAGCCCCCATAAGTAACGGGTTTAGGGCTTACCTGAACTTAGGGGTTGAAGGCCTAGGGTTGAGGTCCCAAAGCAAAACGCCGAACCCAAAAGGATTCCTTTCAATTGGGCTTGAATACATCCGCCGTATATTGCAATACACACTCAACAAAGAGTACAATTCAATCTAAACTCATTGAAGAATTCGTTCTATATTAGACTGCCAAGCTGCAAAACCAGCAACCCCAAGTCCCTTGCCCTGCGGCCACAAGTATAGAATTCCTTCACCCAGAAGAGCTTCTTACATAACACAGGGAGACTATGCATTAGTAGCATAGTAGAATACGACTCATATCGATATTCCGTAATGCTCTAAACCCTGAACCTTACCTTAAAACCCTGAAGCTTGCAATCTATCGCTACAAGTAGTACCCACTTCGAGGCCCAAAACCTACACACAATACATCGGTAGTTGTCAAAATTATGGCCCCTTTATGAATACCCTAAATATTATGTGCCGTACTATTATTAGGACCCAAAGAGGGGCCCTAATTTTCACAACCACCCTAAACCCTAAACCCCTAAACACATGAGGCCTTCACAATTGGACCAGGGGTTTTGGTGCTATATCAGCCATTGTGAACCCAGAAGATGGCTCTAGGGTTGAGGGTTTAGGGCTTAGGGTTTCGGGTTTAGGGTTTTGGGGTTTCCAGTTTAGGGGATCTATAGGGTTCCTGTTAAGGGCTCCTTTAAGGGATCTATAGGGTTTAGGGCTTAAGGTTTAGGGGCACCCACAAGATGGAACCCACCCTTATGAGCAGGAACTACCCACATTCTACTAAACCAATGAAAAGGAACCCCAAACGAGAATCTTGACCAGTGTTTCCCTAAACCCCTAAACCCCAAACCCCTAAACCCCAAACCCCGGATTTCTAAACCCCTGAACCCTAAATTCGGATTCTATACTCTGCGATCTACCCTAAACCCTAAACCCTAAACCCTGAACCCTAAACCCTAAACCCCAAACCCTTTTTGGGGCAGGATGGGCAAGGAAGGCCTTCACCCAAAGCCGCTGAGTTCGACTCCAGGTCTGCTAGAGAAATCCTTGGGTTTAGGGTTCAGGGGTTTAGGGGTTTAGGGGTTTAGGTGTTCAGGGGTTTAGGGGTCTAGGGGTCTAGGGGTTTAGGGGTTTAGGGTTTAGGGTTCAGGGTTTAAGCATCGGTTTTGTGTTAGGTTTAGCTTGAACGGTGTTTCTGGGGCTTCGGGCTTTTAGAGTTTGTGGGCCCTAAACCCTAAACCCTAAACCCTAAACCCCAAAAACCCTAAAACCCTAAACCCTAAACCCTAAAACCCTAAACCCTAAACCCTAAACCCCAAAAACCCTAAACCCCAAAAACCCTAAACCCTAAACCCTAAAACCCTAAACCCTAAACCCTAAAACCCTAAAACCCTAAACCCTAAACCCCAAAAACCCTAAACCCTAAAACCCTAAAACCCCTAAACCCTAAACCCCAAAAACCCTAAACCCTAAACCCTAAAACCCTAAACCCTAAACCCCAAAAACCCTAAACCCTAAACCCTAAACCCCAAAAACCCTAAACCCTAAACCCTAAAACCCTAAACCCTAAACCGCAAAAACCCTAAACCCTAAACCCTAAAACCCTAAACGGGGGGTTGAGGGTTTAGGCTTCGAGGGTTTGGGGTTGGGGGCCTGGGAGGTTGAGACCGCGGCGCATGGGGCGGTGGGGGGTGGTTGGAGTTCCATGCTTCGGTTTAGGGCTTTAGGGTTTAGGGTTTAGGGTTTAGGGTTTAGGGTTTAGGGTTTAGGGTTTAGGGTTTAGACCCAAGAGCAACCTATAGGAATCGAAAGGGTGCCCTTTTTGGTTAAAAGGGGCTTATAAGGGAACCTAAACCTTGAAAGAAGCGAATACGGGTTTTGTGGCATTTGGAACGAAAGGTTTGTGGATGTGAGTCCTGAGAAGATGAAACCGTAAACCCCAAACCCTCAAACCAAGCTCCTGAACCCTGAACCCTCAACCTCAAACCCCCAATCCAAACTCCTGAACCCCGAACCCTAAACTGCTAAAGTATATCCCATATCCCTCAAGATCCTATATCCCATAATCTAGGATCCCGAGGGATTATTATGGTTTAGGGCCCTAAACCTCAAACCCTCAATCCAAACTCCTGAACCCGAAGCTGTGCGAGCTTCTCGAGGGTTTGGGGTTTCGAGAATCGGCGCGATCCATTGCAAATACCGCTACATGGGCCTCGTCATGGAGCTCATGTGGGAGTTTCCCAAAAAGGGGTACCTTACTTTTGGGTCCTTTTTGTTTAGGATCCTACTTTTTAAGGTACTGTACCAGGGTCCCCTCTTTTCGGAAACTCCCAAACCTAAACCCTAAACCCTAAACCCTTAGTAGAACCCTTATGCCCTTAAGGGGTCCCCTATTTTCGGCGCGTCGGAGCCGTGCGCACGTGGTGCCGCCTTGACTTTACTAGGAGGGGCTTTTTTAAGCCCTTAAAACAGATTATTGGTAGATCTTAAGCCCAAAAAGAGCCCATCTAACATGTCCCAAAGCCCTACCTAGTTTACCTTGACATAATGTTTAAACCCCTGACTACTTCACAGAAACACGTTGCTCGTGTGTCTGGATCCCGAAAGTAGTTCGCGGAAGCCTCTTGGCACCGATCTTGCATCGATCGGATTTTGGTCGGGTTTCTGCGTCCCGCAATGCATTTTGGCAGTGGCCTTGACGGTTTAGGTTTAGGGTTTAGAGTTTAGGGTTTCGCCGCCATACGCCGGTACATGGAGTGGCGGATTCGTTGTCTCTGAGTTCCGCAAATACCCGAAGCCAGCATGTTGGTCGAGGGTTGGAAGAAGGGTTTCAAGGCTTTACCTTTAAAGCATCTATATGAAAGGGTTTCAAGAGTAAGGGTTGCTCATGGATAGATCGGTGGCTTGCTGGATGGACGCATCGGTGGATAGATGAATGGAAGGAGGCGTGGTGGACGGAGTGGCTGGATGTACGGATCGACGGATAGCTGGGTGGAGGGATGGAGGGATGGATGGACGGATGGATGAGTGACTGCATGGGTGCTACAAGGTAGCACCTCGCAACGCAAGCAAGCTGGTCTTAAAGTACAACCAGGCGAATGGAGAGGTGAATGACCCTAACCCTAAACCCTATAATCCCAAAGTCCCTAAGCACTGGATCGAATCTCTCATCTTCGACGAAGTTTCATCTCTTCACCGGGATCCTCGTCCGCCTGCGGAAAGCCAGAGACCATAAAGCTGGGAGGGCTCTTTAAGGGATTCCTTGAAGGGCTCTATAGGGGATTCCGTTAAGGGCTCGCAAAGGGATTCCTGTAAGGGCTCTACAGAGATTCCTTTAAGGGCTCTATAAGGATTCCTTTTGGGGAACATAGAGCAGAGGCCCTAAAACCCTAAACCATAGAGAGAGTTTAGGGTTGTAGGTTCGGCCGAGTTGCCGAGTTCCTTGGTCTGAAAAAGGCTTACCCTCCTAGCTTTGGCAGGGTTGCATATACAAACCTTTGAGTAATGGTCTTATGTAGGACATTTCTATACATACATATATATATATATACATATATATATGAACAAATGTATATGTACAATATGCATAGTATGCACAATAAGTAAAGATGTAAAATGTGTAAGATATGCATAGTATGTAAATGTAAAATATGATATGTATAATACGAGGAATATGTACTATGTGCATGTTATGTATAGTATGTAAATTTGTCACATATGTACAACATGTATAACATGTAAAGTATGTCAAAACTGTTAAAATGCGTAACATGAGTGATAGGTACAATATGTAAAGTCTGTATAATATGTATAAGTATAGTAAGCATAATATGTATAATATGTACAATGTGGAATATATACCGCATGCATATTATGTAAGCTATGTATAATACGTACACGGTGTACAATATGTATAATAATAAGATGCATAGTATGTATAATATGCATAACATGTATATGTGCATGTAAAGGTTTTATGTATATGTACATGTTTGCGTACATGTATATGTATGCGTACATGCTTGTGTGTATATGTGTATATGTATGTAAATGTATACGAACATGTATATGTATACGTATATGTGTATGTATATGTGTGTAGCTTCACACAGCAAGGCTATCAACATGTCAAACTGTTGCTTGTGCGGAGGTTTCCTGAATATAAAGATCTCCACGTTCGCGGTACTTACATTAAGTATCGTGCTGCTTCGCCGACATTCCCGTGAAACTCATCTGGTTGATGGTGGGGCTGTATAGGGCTTCCAAGATCCTAAGCTTCACCAATCGATTGAGGATGTTGGATTAACCCCCAGCAAAAGCCCGCCGAAATCTGAAACCCTAGCCTCAAGTCCAGCGCCAAAAGCCTACGTTCTCAGGCATTCGGTCCTAGGGGAAACGACTCGCAGCTGCCTCCTCCACCATGGAGTCCAAGACAACCCGGCCGATAGGCCTGGGACTTTAGGGTTTAGGGTTTCAGGGCGTGGGGGCTGGGATGAAGAATGGGCTTCAAGCCAGGGCTCTTGCAGGGTTTAGGGCTTCCAACGCTTGTAGGAAATCTAGGGGTTCGAGGTAGGTGCAGGATTTTGCTGGTTGCTCTTCCTTTTCAATTCATCACAGACTTTAGGAAGTTGACGTTAAGGAGCTATGTGATAGACTCAGTGTCAAGCTCCCTAACCCCTACAACCGCAACCTAAACCCTCTTTCGCGGGGGAAGCACGTTGGGATCATATTTTGTCACCTCGTAGGGTCAGAGTCAGGAAGAAACTCACTTTATCGGTATACAAATATGATGCCATATGATGCATAAGCCGACTAAGCGCTATTCTATCGCCAAAAAATAACGTGCAGCACAAACAAACCCAAACAGAAACCGACACTTCTGAAACCCAGGGCCCATTCAGGACATTTTTCATTTAATGTTTAGGGACGAGTGTGATAGTTTCAGGTAGGGCGCAAACACCAAAACATCAACACTCTAAAGCCCTACAAGCCTCGCTCGCCAGAGACAAGCAACTAGACGCCCGAACCCAGCTTCCGTAGCCATGCAACAATGAAAAGAAGTGGGAGTTTCCGGACATAGGGCACCCTAATGTAGTACCCTAGATAATCTAGAAGGACCCCAAAACAAGGTACCCCCCTAATTTTCGAAAACTCCCAAATCGATGGCATCTCATAACAGCCTCTTGCCCTCATCCAGACTCCCACAATACAAAAAGTAACTACCTGAGTTGTCCTTGAAGCCCTTTGAACATTGTTTACTATTATGGCCCTCTACAAAATAGCAGGGGGAATTAAAAAAGATCCCAAAGGAGAACCCAGCTACCCAAGTTGGGTCCAAAGTCTGTTAGTAGTGCTACTGCGGGCTATTTGGAAACAATTGAAAGTTGAAACATCCACAGCCTACGTGTTTGTGGGTTCTTGTTACAAGCCCCAAACTCGAATTCATAGGAACCCTAAACCCCAAACGGCCCAAACCCCTAAACCCCAAAACCCCAAAACCCTAAACCCCTAAACCCTAAACCCCTAACCCCTCAACCCTAAACCCCGAAACCCTATTCTACGGTTGATGATATACATCCTGCATTACCATAAGAAAGAATACACCATAATTCCCATAGTCTAGGGTCCTGAAGGAAATGCAGGATTTATATCATCAACCCTAAACCCTATAGATCCCTTAAAGGAAGCCCAGGAAGGTACCCCTATAGATCCCTTTAAAGGAACCCTAGGGATTTATATCATCAACCGTATGTCAGTGTTCTGCCCTCCCAGCCCGAGCCAAGCTGCTGGAGCTCCGCATCGCTGGCCTTGCGAAAATCCCGCCTGGCAAGCTTTTCGCTTGGGGACCTTCGGGGTTTCGGGGTGTCGGGGCTTCGATGTGTTGGGGCTTTTGGGGGTTAGGGTTTAGGGCTTAGGGGTTTAGGGTTTAGGTAGTTTGGGGTTTAGGGTTTAGGATTTAGGTAGTTTAGGGTCTTGAGAGCTTTCGGGTGCGTGTTTTCTGATTGCTACGGTTACTACTTCTGTGGCGTCTACGACGATGTGTGCACCCGTAACTTATGTGTTCTTTGGGACCCTAAACCCTAAACCCTATACCCCATCATCATGGCACGATATTATGGCTTACTTGGACGTTCATGGGTGGGGCTATAAGTCCCGTAATATGGGTTATAAGTATAGTTACCCTACTTATAACCCTACCTGTTACTACCCATGAACAGCTCAGCACAAAAATACAAAAGTGTATCCCCTAAACCCTAAAGCCCAAACCGTAAAACCCCGGTTGCTGTTGCGATTTACCCGCGGGCCCGCCGCGCTTCCAGTGTATGCTGGGCCAGAGCTCCAGATTAATTAAACAAACCAGAGAAACTAGGGTTTAGGGTTCAACAAACAAGAGACACCGAAAATTATGCAAACCTACCATCATCTCCATTCTTGCAGGGTATTACAGGGTTGAGCCCTACCAGAGAATTCGAAGAAGCAGGGTTCGCAGGTTAATGCATGTGGTCACTCAAAAACAGACTGCTTACAAGAATCCTCACACTCGAAAGCTCTACTAAGACCGATTCGAAGTGTTGAGACACCTATAAAAATGCATCCGGTCCTGTGTCAAGCAAGGTGTCTTGTCACCAAAGAGCCCCCCTCTTTCACGCCGAACACCTCAACCTTAAATCCTGAAGCCCCGAAACCTAAACCCTAAATACTAAACACTAAACCTGGCTAAAACCTAAACCCTAAACCCTAAACCGGTGGCCTAAACCCTAAACCCCTAACCCCTAAACCTGCCTAAAACCTAAGCCCCTAAACTTTTCGACGGATTCTTGGGCTCCGCGCGCATCCCGCGCCGCCAGGGCCGCAGCCGGTGCGCAGAGGCCGCAAAGAAGGCAGCAGCAGACGGGCCACCTTGGGCTTAGCGACCTAGGGCTCCTTTAAAGGATCTACAGTTAGGGTTTAGGGGTTTAGTTTAGGGCTTAGGGGTTTGGTTCCTTTTAATGGGTTCCTTTTAATGGGTTCCTTTGAAAGGGTTCCTTGAAAAGGGTCTATAAGGGCTACAATAAGGGTTTCTGTAAGGGCCCTAAGAGGGCTCCTTGACAGGGTTCCGTTTAAAGGGTTCCTTTAAGTTTAAATCTATAAGGGTTCTATAAGGCGTGGGAGCCCTAACACGGTTCCTTTAAGGGATCTTTCGGGGTTCTGTAGTATAAGGGCCATTATTATTAGAATGGGGTCCCTGTTAAAGGGTCTATAAGAGTTACTAGAAGGGCTACTGTAAGGTTTTAGAACAAGGTTAACTGTAGGGGGCCTTAATGCCCATAATAAGGACCTAATAAGGCTCATGTAAGGAAGTATAGTCCCCTACCCCCCCTCCCCCTTAGGCCCCCTAAGGGGTCCCTATGACTTAGGCTCGTTCTTCATTAAGGAATACCTAGGGCTCCTTTAAGGGATCCTTTACGGGATCTATAGGGTTTAGTTAAGGTTTAGGGTTGAGGGGTTTAAGGGGTCTAATAATTAGAATAGGGTTTAGGGTCCCTTTATAGTAGGCTCTTCGTTTGGGGTTTAGGGTTTGGTTAGGGTTCGGGGTTGAGGGGTTTAGGGTTGATCCAACATCCATTAATAAGGAAGACTTAGGGTTCCTTCAAGGTTTTGGGGGTTTGGGGCGGAGGGGTTTAGGGCTGCGGACTTCGGGTTTAAGGCTTAGAAATTAGGGTTTAGGGTTTTGGATTTTTGGGGTTTTGAGTTTTCGGGTCATGAGCTTCGGGTAGGTTTTGGGGCTTAGGGCAACAAGAGAAACAGGCCAATACAAATGGGATTCTCAAGCCTGAAAGGCCAAAGTCTAAATATGCCAACAAACCCTACTTGCACCGAAACTGTGAAATCTTTAACCGCCGAACCGACCTTCCAAAGTTCAATAAAGCCTCAACAACCTTCCGATATGCAAAACACAACATACAGACAAACGATCGAGCAAAAACACTGTATACCCCTAAACCCTAAACCCTAAAACCCTGATCCCAAAACCCCTAAACCCCAAAACCCCCAAACCCCTAAATCCTCAACCACGCCCCAAGCACAACACGAAATCGAGTGGCGCCGACTTCGCAACCTCTCCGGTGGCCTGGCGCAGAATGCCAGGGTCGCCTGGGAAGTTCGCGCAGTGAGGTTGCGCCGGGGGGGGGGGGGGGGGTTGGGAGTTTAGGCTTTAGGGTTTCGGGGGAGGGGGGGGAGGAGGTTCAGAATACCGGGCATTAGGCTTCTTACTTGATTAGAGCACGTTTGAGGTCATATTTTGGGGTGTAATATACGCCAACTATAATGAGGAACGCCCAAAATAGTATAGGTAATTATTACGGCCCCTTATAGTAGGCTCTTGAAGGATTCTACAGGTCCACAAGGATGGCAGAAATCCCCTGCTTGTCTGCGAATTCTGGGCCTGGGAGGGTTTACGGTTTTAGGGTTCAAGGGTTTAGGGTTTCGTGAACAAACCATCCTCAAGTGTGGGATACGGGAGCCTCTGCCTAAACCCTAACCCTACAAAAGCCGAAAATGCTAAACAGCTTTCAGAGTTTGCTACATCCTGAGCCTCAAGTACGAAAGAGGCCGTCTGAACATCCCAAAATACCACGAGAAATCCACCAAAACCTCAGACAACAATGTGGGACCTTACTCACTAGAAGAGATCTTCAGGGCACCCTCAAGCATAAATGGACAATGCAGTTTAGGATGGAGTAGAAGCTGCTTTCTCTGGGTTGGCCTTTAAACACCCTGAAAAATATTTATATATAGGGTCCCTTATAAACCCAAACAAGGAAAACACAAAATGTCCCAAAATCCAACCCAGTTCTCTACGAGTTGGAGGTGTGCGGGTTCTCACATTCAGGAGTCCGGGCTTAATACAGCGGGCCTTGATAGTTTGAATAGGGTTGTGGGGTATAGTATCGTATTGCTTAGAAGCTGCCCCCACCCTGTAATCGTGGCTATAAGGATTATATTAGGGCCCTATTATATTCCACTATTACAGGGTGCGGGCCCCTTCTATCGTATTACTTTCATTGCATGAGGGCACCCTCAGAAGCCCCGTTCTAGCTATCAAGGCTTCTATTCCCTAAGGCTCCATGTACTCATGTAGTATATGCTTAGGCCATAAACGGGTCCCTGGGCACCTTAAGGCCCAAATATACACCACATTGAGGTGCAAGGAGCCTTTTTTAAACCCATATCGGACCCTTAAGGACCCTCAAGGGAACCCCTCAAGGGAACCCTCAAGGGAGCACTGAAGGGAAGCCTTGAGGGAACCCCTAAACACACTTTAAGGCCCAGGGCAGATGGGGCCTTAGGGCCTGAGGGGTTCTGTGGGCGAGGTTTTAGCTGCTCCTGGTCGAATCAAAATTACAGATGCCGGTTTAGGGTTTGTGGTTGAGTTTTAGGATGTAGAGTTTTGAGTTTAGGGTTTAGGGCTTAGGGTCAATGATTGAGAGTTTGGAGTTGGAAGTTTAAGGTGTAGAATGTAGGGTTTAACAGTTTAGGCCCCTTTAAGCAATCAAGGCGACAGTTCCAGTCAAAGTTAGTGATGCAGCTCTCGGGCTGATGCTTGAGAGTTTAGGATTTAAAGTTTTGAGCTTAGGGTTGAGACTATAGGGTTTTGGGGAGAGTTTAGGATTTCGAGTTCTGAGCTTAGGGTTGAGACTATAGGGTTTGAGACAAGGCGACAGATGACGGTGCGCAGGTAGCAGAGGACCGCAATCGCCTCGAAGGGGGCGAGAATGGGATTCGGCTCGCTTCTTCGGAGACCGGCAGTCTGCTTGTGGGATTTAAGGGGGTTTAGGGCCTTAGAGATTTAGGGGGTTTAGGGTTTACGGATTTAGGGGGCTGAAGGCTTTCAGAACCGAAAGTTGAAGGTTTTTGGGGGTTTAAAGGTTCAATTAGGGTTGAGGGTTCAGGGTTGCACTTGGGTTTCCGGATTTGCTGAGCCGGATGACTCGCACTGGGTGTTCCGAGTGCTCTGGCGCCTTCGAGCCTAAACCCCCTTCTGCAAGCCAACGTCCCCAAGTCAATCCTTTCGTCCGCCCATAGAGTCCCTAAAACCACCCTTTTAAACGGGAACCTCCGTAGTACCCCTTAAAGGAGATCCAAAGACTCCAACATGCCTTAATTAAGGAATATACCTTAAATCATATTAGGCATCCTACTATAAGTCAAGGTATATTCCGTAGTTAAGGGATAATGGAGTCTCTGAGTATATCTAGTTCCCGTAAAGTACTCCATTCCCAGGGTGCAATAGGAGTTAGGATTAGTGCACCCTTGGGGACAAAGACCCTCTCAACAAGGTCCCTGTTAAGAGAGCCAGAAGTAGGGTCAAGTTACGGGGTCTCCCCTACTTGGAGGCTCATGGGTAGTTCTAAGTGGGGCTATAAGTTCCCTAATATGGGTTATAAGTATAGTTACCCTACTTATAACCCTACCTATAACTACCCTTAGACTCTAATTCCTATAATCCTATACCCTAAACCCTATAGATCCCTTTAAACGAACCCTACTTATGACTACCCTTGAACCTCCAAGTAGGATGCAAAACCGAGGAGCTGCCAGCAGCCACTCCAGGGGAGCGCGGGAAGTGAACTCGCGGAGGTGCCTCGGTTTAGGATTTAGGATTTAGGATTTAGGATTTAGGATTTAGGGTTTAGGGTTTAGGTTTAGGTTTTTATCTTCTAAGGTTCGCCAGCGCAGTTTTTTGAGACTGCGCGTAAAGGCGCCCTGGTCAGGATCACGCGAAGCAAACTCACCTTTAAAGGCATTCGCCCCTAAACCTTAATCTGCAAAAATCCGCCCCCGTTTTGGCAACTTTTTGCTTTAAAGCCTCAAAACAGTTTCTTACTTTTAGAGGATTTGGGGGTCTGGGGCCTGGATTTGGGGTGTGGGGCCTGGGTTTGGGTCTGGTGCCTGGATTTGGGGTCTGGGGCCTGGCCTGGATTTGGGGTGTGGGGCCTGGATTTTGGGCTTGGGGTCTGGGGCCTGGATTTGGGGTCTGGGGCCTGGATTTGGGGTCTGGATTTGGGATCTGGGGCCTGGTTGGGATTTGGGTGGGGCCTGGATTTGGGGTGGGGCCTGGATTTGGGGTTGGGCCTGGATTTGGGGTCTGGGGCCTGGACTTGGGGCTGGGCCTGGGTCTGGTGCCTGGATTTGGGGTCTGGGGCCTGGATTTGGGCAAACTCACCTCTAAGGGCATTCGCCCCTAAAACCAAACCAAGTTACCGTCCCCAGTATGTACAAGGGGCGCTCTGGTCGGGGGGTTGTCCTCGGCATCTGGAGGCGAACCTCGCTCCGGACAAACCCCCGACCTTTCTGCCCCCGGGTCCCCGATTGAAACAAACTAAATTAGCGGCGACTTGCGCATCTAAAACCCCATAGACTCCCAACAAAACAACTACAGAGAACCAAAGTAACCAACACAAAACCCGAATCTGGGACCCCAAGAAAACAAATGAAAAGAAAAAAGGCATGCACATGCAGTAAGGGAAAATGGCAAACGGCCAAGGCCCCGCAGAAAAAAAAACGATACCGGTATGTTAGATAGGATGCAACAAGGTGGACAGATGGATAATGCCCTAAGGTTAGACAACACTACATAGCTAGCTACATACATACACAAACACCCAATACACAGGCCTACTTACGAGGCGGGTTCTGGAAAAATTGAGCCTTGGCCTTTGCCTCGGCTTTGGCTTTGGCGGCCGCCTTAGGCGCAGCACGCCGGATCTGCCGGGAAATGCGGCTGCGGGGCAACGGAAAATCGCAGCGGTCGCTCCTCTGAGCGTAGCCTGGCGGCAGACAGGAAGAGAACAACCGAGATCCCCCCAAACGCCCAAAATACTAGACCCCAAAACCTTACATCCCCGAGCCCTAAATCCTTAAACGGCAGACAATACAGTACTAAGCCGAAAACAACCCTAAACCCCGCAAGCCCAAGCGCTGAAACCCTGAACCCTAAAACCCCAGACCCGGACCCTAAGCCCCCGCACCCAAAGCCCTGGCACCAAAACCACTAAACCCAAAGACCCCAAGCACAAAAAAACTAAAGCCCTGAACCCCACAACCCCTAAACCCAGAAATCCTACGAAGCCAAAACATGTAAAACCTTAAACCCCGCGAACCGCAATCCCCTAACACACAGAACACCCAAAGGCCTCGAGCCCGGTTGGCTAAGCAACGCGGGCATTCGTCGCAGGGCAGGCGCTCGGTGTTGTAGGCGTTCCTGTTCCAAGGGGGGAGGGGGGGGGACGAGACACGAGCAAAGGCCAAACGGCACAACCACAGCAGAACTAACGACCTAAACCGAAGCCCAAGACACCAACAAGCCAAACCCTCGCCTTGGCCCAATTGGTCGCGGAAAAGGCCGATTCGGCCGGCGACGCTTGGTAGGGCTCTCATCCCCGCCGCCGGGATGAATCATAACCTCGGTTCACGCATGCAAACAAGCGAAGCCCCCCAGAGCATAACTACGAACCACAACAAGACCCGAACCAAGGAGCCGGTGCGTCGGCTGAAGGAGGGAACGCCAGATTGACACGACTGCCTCCCTTCCGCCCCTGCCACCACCCCCTTCTTCCTGCCCCCCAGCCCCCTACCCCCTGCCCCTCTGCCCCACCCATTCCCCGCTCCCCCAGCCCAGCACAGCCCAGCCCAGCCCAGCCTAATCCTGGCCCGATTCAATTTACGCAGCGTCACATTGACATTGACCCCTGCTTCTGCCCCCTCCACCCCCTTCTTCCTGCCCTCCAGCGCCCTACCCCACTGCCCTCCAGATTGACACTGCCGGATTGACATGGGCCGCCCACCCCAGCCCCCTACCCCCCTGCCCCTCTGCCCCACCCCCTTTCCCCGCCCCTTCTTCCTGCCCCCCAACCCCCTGCCCCTCTGCCCCACCCCTTCCCCAGCCCAGCACAGCCCAGCCCAGCCTAGCACAGCCCAGCCCAGCCTAATCCTGGCCCCTTATTTACATGTTGCTTACTCAAACTGTCAATTTACTTAAACAGTTTTATGGGTGTCGGTTGCTTGCCTTAAATCCCGCCTTCCTTTGGCTCTTAAAACCACAACCTGCGCTGGCGCATCTTCGGCGGAGCCGTCTAAAATTTAGGGTTTCGGGGTTTAGGGTTTAGCTAGTCAGGCTTCTACACAGGATTCTAAAAGCAGTTCCTGTGCAGGTTCCTATGGGGCTTAGGTTTGTGGGGTTAAGGGCTTAGGGGTTTAGGGCTTTGCGTTTTGGGTTTAGGGTTTAGGGCTTTGAGTTTTGCGTTTAAGGTTTGGGGCTGAGTGTGTTGGGTTTAAGTTTAGTGTCTAGGACTTAGTGTTTAGGGCTTTGGGTTGTGGGTTTGGGTCTGGGGCTTAAGGTTTAGGGTTTAGGGTTTCGGGTTTAGGGTTTGGCTAGTTAGGCTTCTACAAAGGATTCTAAAAACAGTTTCTGTGCAGGTTCCTAAGGGGCTTAGGCTTTAGAGGTTGCTTTTTGGGTCGATTCTATTCTTCAGGAGGGGGTTTAGGGTGTTGGCTTGAGGATTGACGTGCGGCTTCGGGTTCAGGTTTGGGGGATCCAAGATTTAGGGTGCCGCCGTACGAACGGCCAGCGACAAGAACAGGACTTAAAACAACCAAGGCCTGTTGGGCGGTTCTGGAAGCATTTGGAAATAAAAGCATAGGTTGCTATATATGTGTGTGTATATATATATATATATAATATATCCACATGTATATTTTGAGAGAGAGAGAGAGAGAGAGAGAGAGAGAGAGAGAGAGAGAGAAACAGAGGGAGAGAGGGAGGGAGGGAGGGAGGGAGGGAGGAAGGGTCAGAGTGAGAGGACTATTCTGCTCATTCTGCTCGCTTCCACCATAGAGAGACCACGTGGCCGGGCACTTCTGAGAGCTTCACAACTACAGTCAAAATCTAAGCTTTGGGGCTTTCGAGCTGCAAGGATTTAGGGGTTTAGGGCTTTAGGGCTACAGGGCTTTAGGGCTGTAAGGGATTGGGGATTTAGGGCTTTAGGGCTTCAGGGCTGTAGGGCTTTAGGGCTGTAAGGGATTGGGGATTTAGGGCTTTAGGGCTTCAGGGCTGTAGGGCTTTAGGGCTGTAAGGGATTGGGGGTTTAGGGCTTTAGGGGTTTAGGGTTGAGGGGGGGGTTCAGGCGTTGGGGTTTTAGACTGCTTTAAAGTGGGATTGCTTGGACCCTTACAGCTAGCAGGATTGTCAATGCCATAGTATAGGGACCTTAGAAATTCTACTACTATGAAGGAGAACCTACCCCAAGACCCTATTTTGAATCTAGTTGAAAACGCCCCTACACTTCAGCCCTAAAACAAGTCAACCGCCCCAAACCCTAAACCCTACACGGTTACAGGCCCTAAACCCCGAACCCACCCTAAACCTTAAAGGCCCTAAAACCTAAAACCCAAAGCCTTGATCAGCAAACTCAAAAGGCCCTCCACCCCCAACCTCAATCCTAAACCCTAAACAACAACAGATCCCTTTCCAGGAACCCCACGTATTTTAGATCCCTTAAAGGAACCCCCTGAAGCCACCGTACCTTTGGTTAGTAAGGAATGGAGGAATGGGGTACAATTATAACTACTATTACTTCCATCCATTCCCTACTAGCCAAAGGTAGGCAACCTGAAGCCCAGCGCCACAAACCCGAAAATCTACACTCCACGCCCTCCTGGGAGACGTGGCCTCCGATGGGACGCCACATCCGCGAGCAACAGGGCCTCCGTAATGGCTTGGGTTCCCTTAAAGGGTACTACAAGGGTTCCTTTGAGGGGTATTCTATATGGTTACCATAAGGGTTTAATGGCTAGGGATTTAGGTGTGTTCGGGTGCAGGGCTTTAAGAGTTTAGGGCTTTGGGGCTTTAAGCTGTGGGGGTTTTAGGTGGTTAGGGTTTACCGGCTCAGGGCTTAGGGTGTAGGGCTCAGGGTTTAAGGGCTTCGGACTTTCGGGCTTTAGGCCTTGAGGGGCTTAGGGTTTTACTTGAAGGTGCCGGGCCTACCCGTGCAATGAGTTTGTGAGGACATCAGAACGAAGCACGCCAAAAGAGGTAGGTTATTCACTGGGTTCTGTGCCTACAGAGCCCAAAAGTACAGCTCAGTTTGGACTTCATAGCCCAAGGTAGGTCTGATTTGTAGACTGGGAGCCCTAGATCCTAGACCCTACCTGTAGCCGAAAAGACCTACCTTTTTAGGGTTCATTATTCTGGTTTCTATATGTAGCTCCTTAGAAAGGTAGGTCTTTTTGGCCACAGGTATACCTAAAGCTCATTCATCTTCGGAGAGTGTTGGACTCTACCCTAAAGTCGAAGCTGCAAAATACAAATCGTAGAAAGGGTTTAGGGTTACTCTTACAGGTGTTTTTGAGTGGAACAGGGTTTTGAGGAATTTGGGGGGGGATAGGAACTATGCTGTTCCCAACAGAGGTTGCGTATCCCCAGATGTCCGATTTTGACAGGGCCCCAGACTGCAGACCTCAGTGCTTCCTCAATTTCCTCGAAAGTCCGAAGTTTACCGCCGTCGATCGCGTTCTGCGTCGCGCCAAGTACCGACACCGACACCCTATGAAGATGCTTTTCTTTACACATTACGTCGTGATAGAGGTGCTTCTCCGAGCTGACGCAGTACGACGGGCACGACGGATCATGGCAGTAGTGTTCAAGGTGGGGCGCGTACTGCTCATCTCAGTGACGTAGCGGTCATGAAGCTCTGTCACAATCTGCGTGAGCACGCCGATCCGTTCCTCTGTCGTCTTGGCCTTTATGAGAGAGCAAATGGAGCATTTGCCCTGGCCATTCCTTGAGCTCCTTCTGGCGCTCAGACGACGTGAACTCTTTCAAGGCTCTTCCGCTCCACCTTTGCTTGCATCTGCTGCCCTCATGAGCCGTAGTGCCGTAACCCTGGAACCCTAAACCCTGAACCCTGAACCTTACAATGACAACACAAACAGCAACGTAGTTACAATCCCCAAGTTAGGGTTTAGGGTTTAGGGTTCAAGGCCGACGGCACCAAGTACGACTACAGCTGCAGCTACAACCATAATCACAAACCAGTTCAAGCTACAGCTACAACTTTGACAACTACCACAACCCAGTCAACTACAACTACAAATACTACTACATCTGTTACTACTAATTATTCGGCTGCTGCGAATACTGCTGAAGTGTTTGTCGGCATGCGTGCTGCTCATTGGATAAAGTTAAACCCTAGAAAGCCGAAACTCTGGTCTATACCCCCCTTCGGACCATAACAAAAAATGGTCTTTGTGTTCGCCTGGGTATTACATGAGCAAACACAAAAGGAATTCCTAAGGAGGCTGTAGTGATTATCAAAGGTTACAGCAATCACACCGGCCCTGCTCCCATAAGGAACCTTAGTGCTTGATAAGCGGACATGGCTTCGACCCGCTCAGATTCACACTGTGTCCGCCGTGCAGCTTACTGTAGTCTACAGCATCGAAGGCGACGAATCGAAAGCTGGTTGATCGCTATACCGTGCGGCAAGACTTCAACGTTTGCTCGTTTCAGGTTCAGTTACCCATGTAGAAGGTTCTTAATAGACTTGTGGACCGTCTGCCGAAAGGAGTGCGAACATTGTGTCCTTTCGAAAAGTGCAAAAGATCTGAAGCCAACCACGACGAATATCGGTAGGAACACAACCTGAGCTTGAGTCAAAAGAAAATCAATCGTGGTGAACGCTGCCGGCTTGTAGCAGGGCTAAACCCTGCATGCGAAATCCTAACACCAAAACAACAACAGTGCAGCAGCAGCAGCAGCAGCAGCAGCAGCAACTCCCATAAAACCTAACCCCCGAAACAAATAGAACAAAAACCAAACCCTGAACCACAAATCCCAAACCCCCGAAACAAATTCCAACAAAAAAAACTCTAAACCCCCTACACCCCCACACTTCGAAGGACCGGGCATGCAGCGCAAGCACGCAGATCGGAGACAGCAGGCGCTCGGCATTCCTGAAAAGCTTAGGCTCAGCTTAGGGTGTAATATAGGGGGCCTTAATGATTAGAATAGGATTTCGTGGCCCAGTATACTATAAGTATATTCATGAACCCCCGAAATAGTATAGGTACTTAATTAGGCCCCTACAGTAGGGTATGGTTTAAGGCCTTTGGGGGCTTAGGCGGGGCGGTCTCTCGGACAGGCTCAAGTTTGGGGTTTGGTGGGGCTCGGGGTTACGGGTTTCGGGCGCAAAGAATTGGAGCTTGTTTGGCAGAGCTCTGTCTGGTAGAGTTTGGTACGGGGGCCTTGATGCTTTCAATAGTCCTTCAGGGCTTGGCAAGGCGTCTACTGCCTCATCTGCCGCCAGAGTTCGGACGATGTCTGAGGGTGCGGGAGTGGGTCAGAGGCACTCTGAAGGTGCTACCTTCGAGTGTTACAGTAAGAAAACGCACTACTATAGGGCATTATAGGATTTAGGGCTGGGAGCTTACCAATTCCGAACCCGGACTCCTCCAACGTGCCTCCCTGATCTACGGTTTAGGGTTTCGGGCCCCCTTCAGGAAAACTAGACAAGGGATACGATCTAAGGGTTCCTCTGAGGGTTCCTTGAAGGAGTACAGGGTATCGGGTATCGGGTTTAGGGTACAAGGTTTACGGTTTAACGAGGCTCGCTTGGGTCAGGGTTTTTAAGCTTTAAAGCTGGGCTTTAGGGTGAAGGATGGACTCAGGGTTAGGTTAGGGTATCCCACATTTCTGTCAGTGCACCTGAGGAGCAATTTCGCCTTCCCTGTCTCTTTCAGCTGTAGTACGCTTCACGCGGGAAGAAAGCTGAAAGACGTCTCTTCGCTTTTGGGAACTATAACTAGCGGGTATAAACCCCGAACTCCACAGTTCCTACTCCTAGAGGGGGTTTTGGCGTAGGATTCGATCTATACAATAAGGATCCTGCTATTTAGGGTACTATATTACGGTTCCCTATTGTCGGAAACCCCAAAATCACACCTTTTCAAGGACCTTTCGAATAAGGAATTATAATAAGGAACCCAAAACTTTAGTCCAGCGTAGGGTCTCGTAATGAGCCTACAAACACCTAGAAGGCTGAACTGAGCCCTAAACTTGGAGGGTCGGGGGACTTAGTAAGTAGGTAGTAAGTAGACTTATAAGTACCCTAAACGGGACCCTAATTGGGGTTATGGTACTTACAAGTCCTTAAATAATCAGTTACTAAGTCCGCCGACCCTCCAAGAACCCTAAACCAGGCTTCATATGAAGAGCAAGATTCGGAATCTGCATGTTGCTGCTGCATCACACGCTCAGAAGCGAAGCCATAGCTGCATGTGTTAGGGTTTAGGGTTTAGGGCTCGGGGTTGGGTTCAGGGTTCAGAGTTTAGGGCTTACCTTCACCCGGAATTACTTACCTTTTCAATCACTTATACAAGGAAATCATAGTAAGGAACCCCTAAAAAGGTAGGTTATTCAGGGTTAGTAGTGCTTTATAAAACAGTGTTGTATTTATTTTATAAAACACTGGTATCTAAAACACTACAAGTAGGGTTCAGGGCTTAGGCTTAGGCTAAAAGCTTCGGGCCTCGAATAGGACTTCATAAGAAGGTTGAGAGGGGATGATACGGGTTCTATGGGGTTTCAACCGTATCCAGGCAATATAAGGTTTGACGGTGTAGCGGAGGGATTATTTGGGGCCGATTGCTAGGGCTTAGGGAAACGGTGCAGTGCGCAGGATACGGCGTGGTTTTGACTGTAGTACTCTGTCTAAGAGGTGTATACGACCCGTACTTGGCGTTGTACGTGTCTGCAGACCCTCGAATCTTTTGAAAAGAAGGGATGCTGAAGACGGGTCTAGTCAGTCAAGGATGTTTTGAGGACTCAAGCTTCGGGTCAGTGCTCACCTAGCCCCGTTAAAACGTCCCTCTGGTTCATTCATATGGAAACGTCCTAAGGTTGAACTGCACGCAGCGGAGCGAAAGGCGTGCGTGCAAATCATCACAACTTGGTCATTCCCTAAACCCTAAACCCTAAACCCTAAACCCTGATGCCTCCTGGAAACTCTCTCCAACAGGTTTCTCGAAAAGGTTAGGCGCAAAATGCCCGCTGATATGCCAACAATTCTCCTGATTCCGGTTGATGAAACAAATCCTGCATTTACCCATAAGAAGGAATATACCATAATTCCCATAGTTTAGGGTCCTTAAGGTAGCGCAGGATTCATATCATCAACAGTTCGGTGCCGACACGCCTAAGAACTCAAACCAACTCCTTTGGAGATCAGGGGTTTTGGGTTGGGACCATCCGAATGAAAGGGGCCTTAATAATTAGAGTAGGGTTCCTTTAAAGTGGAATATAAGGGCTACAGGAAGGTTATTATAACGATTTACTGTAGGGGCCTGAATAATTAGAATAGGGGTTTGGGGCCCAGTAGACTACAGTTATAGCAAGGAACCACCAAAATAGTACTGGCACTTACACAGGCCCCCATATTACATCGTTCTGCCAAGAAACCATCACCAACCTCCAGGTATTTCCACACTGTTGCTGTCACACACACACACACACACACACACACACGCACACACACACACACACACCCTCTCACATTACTCTCGATTAAATTCTCGAGGTCATGTACACATTATGTGGAACTGCCCACATTGAGAACAATATCGAACCGCCCTCATGCTCACTATTCGCTCACAGATCGGCTAAAGATAACACCGTAGATCGCAAAAATCCGAAGCCTCATCCCGCTCGAACAGGTGCTAACCTTAGGCTTGGCCTAACCTTAAGCCCTCATGGTTCCGAGTCCTTGGTGGGGTAAACGACGTCTGCAGCAATCACCACGTCGATGTCTCTTAACTCGTCAGGAAGATCGCTTCCCCAAACCTCACAGCGCGCCGAGGGATAGAACTGTCAACACTGAACACTAGACTTAACTTTGCAAAATCCTAAGCACCGAACGCGCCGCGAAATCATTAAAGCCCTCAAACCATTATCCTGCCAACTCGAGAAATTGCTTCCACAAACCTCAGGACAAGTGTCGTTGAATTTGGCGTTTTTTCTCCGGGGTTTACTGTTGGGTCTGGGGTCTCAAATCTTGGGTTTACTTGGAGGTTCATGGGTAGTTATAAGTGGAGTTATAAGTTCCCTGATATGGGTTATAACTACAGCTACCCTACTTATAATCCTACTTATAACTACCCATGAACCTCCAAGTACATTCATGTAAGCTGCGCCCCGGGGCTCTGGAACAGGTATATTTATGCGCTGCACTCCCAAATAGTACGGCACTCTTCCAAAACGGATCAGCAAAGGGACCCTGCTTCAGAGATCTAACCATGTGGGTCTTGCTATGCAGGGCAATGCAGGGGTCACCTACTTTCTGAACCTCCACCTTCCCGAAGTTATGTCGCGAAGGGCTCCTGAGTCCATCGGGCTGTGTATGGTGTGCATGGGGCATATATAGATTGCATACTTGCGAGTGTTTCACAGGTGTGTTGAAGGGTGCTTTGTAGAAGCAACACCGCAAATCGATCCCGACAACAGTCATACCCATCTCCTAGTTACGCCCGTTCGACGATCGAAAAGGAAGAAGGGCCAGAAATGACGAGTAGCCAGCGTTCGAGCCTCGCAATGCGGCTGGAGGCAGTTGAGCTCAATATTCCTTCCATCGCTGACGGCCCAAGGCTTGGGTACTATAAGAGGTCGTTTAACGGGTACCATAAGGGTCCCTTTACGGGGTACTAGAAGGGTCCCTTTAAAGGGTTCTGTACTTTCAGGGTTTTGTTGAAGGGTACTATGAGGGTCTATTGAGCTTCATCATGCCCGAACCCTCACCTGTCACTGCAGGGTGCGGGGTCTATGGTTGATCTGACTTTTGTTCGCAAACTTCTCCCAGGCCTGGGCGGTTTTTCCGTGTGCCGTCAAATTGAGCCTGGCATGGGGCTTTTCGTAGAAGCTTCGAAGCGACCGCGACACACTTCCTCTTTACATGAGGCTGGTGAAATCCACGCAAGCCACGAAGCCAGAACCGTCAAGATTTGCGCATTTGCCGTGGTGTTGAGATTAAACAGGGTCTCTCTGCATACGTAACGACCTTGCAACGCGATACGACAATACAGAGGATATAGTTCACGTGACTCGTGAAACTTCCAGTGCCCGGTGCAGCTTCCAAGCCCCGAAACGGCGTTTAATATAGGCGCCTGAATAATTAGAATAAGGTTTCGGGGCATATTAATATGCTATAGTTATAATGAGGAGCCCCCAAAAATCTATTTGTAATCATTAAGGCCCCTGTAGCATTCAACTTCAACAACTCTCACTTTGAAGAGCAGGGGCTTCCACGAACTCAAAGACACATGAAAAGGACCCCACCAAACTGAAAAGCCGGGAAATTGCACCTCTTCAACAGCGACTGCCTGAGACTGGATTCCAAACTGCGTGGATGTGGGTTTTGGGCACCTGTGCCTGCAATATTGATTGTATACCAGGAGCATGTCTCATGTCCGAAGCAGAACCGGTTACTGATGCAAACCCTTCACGACGTTGCCGGGAATCTGACACCTGGACACAACTAATGTGAGTTCAGTTCAAGTTTATAGGTTTTGACATTTGGATTTGTTGTGTTGGCCGGCGGCTAAGCAGCCCAAGCAAAGGTGGGCCGAAAGCACCAACTTGGACACCGTCTGGATCTGGACGAGAGTGTGACGAACCCGGCACGCGCCTGCGACAACGACGGACCACTTTCCGGGAGATATGTTGACATGTGCATTGGCATCTTCGCACGGCCACAATCCACAGTGACAGCTTTTATTCTATGCGAGTTCTTGATCTCCAGAAGGTACTCTGGTCGGTGATTGTGACCAAACTTTGGTCATCATGGCATGGAAAATGATGAACACCAGCACCCAGATATCCTGCCAGTCAGCGATACAGCGACCGTGGGATCCAAAGCTCGCACCGGTACTTCCAGCAAAGCGAAAGAAAAAGACTGGCAGAGTTCATGAACCCAAGATGATGCACACCGTATGACACCATGAACCAAACCAACAGGTGGTGCCGAAACCATCACCATCAACAGCATAATCGGCACCATCGCAATCACAGCCACCAACCACATCAGCTCAAACGCCCGGAAGCTATAGGAGCAGTAAGTAAGATCGAGAATCAAGTGTTAAGTAGCACAAGCAACAGAAGCCACAGGAGCCGGCAAATTGAAGAGCTACAGTGGCAATGATTTCAATAACGCAGGCAACCCGTAAACCCTCATTCTGGAGGACACCAGGATGATTACAGTCACCCTTCTACAACGGTCCAACGGTCAATCCAGCCTGTGGTCGGGTGTCAATAAGCATCGGCGAAGCTTTTTTTGAAGATCCAAGCGGCGGCTGCCGAACCACTCCAAACCGTCGTGCGAAGTGCCAGCTATGTTGCCCCGGACTGTATGCGTATGGAGGCGATACAGAGAAGCTTGCCAGGTTCGGGCACTGTAGCTTGTCGTGAACTGGAGCCGCAAGCCAGCTTACTATCATAACCCACCTTGAGATTCCATGTAGCCAGCGAGTATATACTTGGACCCGGAGGCATCAATGATAGGGACTTCGCTCGAGCACCGAAGCAAACCGTCAAACTTTCAGAACGGTACCCAAGACGTGAAAAGCTGGATGTGGAAGAACTAAGACTAGAACGCTTCATCTGGATGTCAAAAGTTTGGAGTTCAGGCTCTGGGGATTAGAGGTGTAGCTGCTTAGCTGCTCTTGAACACCGCACCCGCCGAGACCCCATGCCCTAGAGCCTTCATCCCTGAATCCCAACGCCCCCAACTGGGAGGGTCGGGGGACTTAGTAACTGGTTATTTTAGGGACTTCTAAGTACCATAACCCCCATTAGGGTCCCTTTCAGGGTACTTATAAGTCTACTTACTACCTACTTACTACGTCCCCCGACCCTCCAAGAACCCTCCAAAACCCTAAACTCTCCAAGACCCCCAAGATGACACCCGTAAACCGCACAAAGCCGACCTTTTCCCCAAAGAACCTACCATTGTACGGACTTGCAAAAGGAAATGAGAGAGAGGAGCCCTTAAAACTTTAACCCGAAATAACCTATCTGTTTTAAAGTTTAAAGACTCATAAAAAAAAAGGAAATCAGGATCAGGAGCCCCGAAGAAGTAGGTTTCCCAAAACCCTAACTCCCCAACGCCCTAAGGGTCCAAGTACCCGATTAGTAGGGTTTCAAAATCCCAAACCCATTCTAGGATACCCAGTAACCTAAGAATAAAA